AAAAACGGGCTACCCTTCCATGGTTGACTCAGGTTCCATGGTCAATGTTATTCCAAGGCAAGCGGCAATTGATCTTAATTTGGAAGTCATCGAAGTAGACATACCCATGAAGGGGATTGGCGGGGACCGTTGCGACATTAAAGGAGTAGTGGAAAATTGCGCCATCAGCATTGGACGATTCACTGGACCAGTTCACCTCTTTGTTTCACCTCAAGCTCAAGATTGTATCCTTGGACGACCTTTTTTGTTTGATTACGACTGCACTTTGGATTATCCAGGAACTGGGGAACTACTATCTTTTCAAGGCGATAGTGGCCGACGTATCACTGTCCCCATTGCAAAAATAGGACAGGGAAAAGGTTGGAATCAAATGAAGAACCTCAACCCAGTTGGAACTGCATACACCAAGGCGTATCAAACTCAAGACACGGTTCAATCTCACTTTTCGGACGACTCAGACTTCACCATAAAACCAAGCTTGGTTCAAAGGAAGCTCAAATGGGTTAAGAAAATCTGTCATCTTGTCAAGAATAAGACTAGCAAGAAAAAGTCAGATCGACCAACACTCAAACAACAACACCTGGAGATACAATTACCTGTTGAATGCAAAACTCCACAGCTGCTTTTCCAAACCAAACCAAAATCAGATTATGTGGGCCCAACAATCAATTATACGGAACCATTGACGGATTACACAGAACCAATGACGGATTACACAGAACCAATGACGGATTACACGGAACCGATGACGGATTACACGGAACCGATGACGGATTATACGGAACCAATAATGGAAACAGCAGCTACAACAATCAAACTACCAGATCTGGTGGAAGAATGGAAAGTGGCATCAGCAAACGTAATGGACACACCAATGGAACTTGCACATACAGTAATTGAAATACCAGGAATGGTGCTAGATGGACTGGATGTGGAAAACTACATGGATCATGAAGAAATATTGGATCAATCTGTTCAACAAGTCAAAGAATTGGATCAGTCCACCCAGCTCAACAAAAATTACGTGAAACTCCTCCTTACAGAAAATCTAGCAGAAGATTTGGAATTTCCTAAAGCCTCAGAATTACTTTGGATTCGAAATATCAACACACCCCAACACAAGCTCTTCAACAAACAACTTTTCAAACCTTACTTGGATGCATACAGATTATTTGAAAATTTCAGCAAAATTCCTCAACATCTGGGACACAATACTACAGAACCTGAGGAAAATGAAGAAACCTTTGTGCTTCTGCCAGCACTGGGTCTATCACATAATTCAACAACAACCAAAACTATACTGGAAACAGAAATTCAAATCAATTCAGTACTTGAAGATTCAATCATCAGTCTCTCTCACTTTAGAGCACCCAATATTTTCCTTTTTGGATTTCAATTACTTAAAGAACTAATTTTGCAACTACTCCTGAAGATTCCACCAGACCGCTTTGGACAACTGTATACCGCCTTCCACATCCCAAGAATCGAGTTGGTTGAATATTTCTCATCAATTCTCTTTTCCCCTTTTTTTTCTTTCCTTAAACAAACAAAACATCATAAAAATAGGCTACCTCCTGGGCATGAGGATAAACTGTTCAAACCTGAATTTTATCAACCCAGAAAACCTACATGACCAAGGAAAACTGAAAACACCCTAACCCCGGGTGGAAGTAAGAAAAGCCTTATGCAGATTCTACACAGGATGATGCAACCCCAATGAATACCCATTCAGCCACTTTTTTGGTGGAATTGTCTGGGGACAGACAATAAGTTGGGGGAGGATG